ACTTCTAGGTTTCCTCACCCATCAAGCAATATGAACGCTCCGTCCAGTAATCGAAACAATTCACAGCTTTGCATTGATGTGCTCGAAACGCTGGGGTTATTGCTCGTTGTTCTTCATGACATTTCATGCACGCTGCTTGAATATCAGAACAACAAGTTTGTGTCGGTGTATGCACTTCATTTGCCATTTTTGAGTCTGAAATACAATTCTGCGCATTTTTGTTACAATAAGTTAATAAAAAAATAATGAGCTTTGAATTCAAAGCAAAACTTACACGGCGTTGAACAGAGTGCACAATTGAGCGATCTGAAGACGAATTTGAAAGCCAAAACGTCATGCTTGTGTAGGTCGATGATCGCATCTCGGTACACTGACTTCTTTGGCCATTCTAAAAGAGAGATATTTTTTCAGGAAAAATAGTAAGTAAATAGTTAAATCAATAAAATAAACGAAAAGAAAGATAAAAAACTATATATAGGTTGAAAGCAAAAATATGCAATATCAAAGAAACCCCCCAGTCTCCCTAAATCTGGACAACCCGCGACAGATAAAACAACCAAAAAAAGGATGGAAGAGGTTGAAACTCTGCAAACATGGGAGATGTTTTAAGCTTTTAGAAGAAAAAAGACTTTACTGTGTGTAATGGATGTTTTTACCCAAAGGGCCGGTTTGAATTTGAAGTTGGATTCTGCTTTCATCGGACTGAAAATGAAATGAATCGGAATGAAACTCAACCCGATTCATTTCATTTTCATTCCGATTTTCCCAGGATCTCTTGGAATAATTACTATTGGCTTGGCACAGTGGGGATTTCGTAACTGTGCTTCAAGATGGAATAGGGGCTCAAACCGTGAACCCGGGCGGTAAAACGTCCATGGCACACTATATGTCCACGAAATAACAAGCTCGCGCCGTGGCAGATTATTTAGGATTTGCGTTTTTAGTTAAAAGGAATCGGTTAAGTTGAGTTTATACGGTACGTGTGAACGGATTCAGAAAAAATGGAGTGGAAGGAACCGAAAAGAAAACGAAATAAAACCGTGGTTAGAAATTTAAACAACCAAATATGGGCAAATAATATATAAAAGAGAGAGAAAAGAGAGAGAGTACCGTAAAAACGCGCCCAAAAACAATAAATTTTACGAAGGGGTAGAAAAACTTAGCGGTAACCTGCTGGAAAGTTTGATAAAGATTCCATCATGAAATGCGGAAAAATGACAGGAATGGCAAAAGGATTTTTGTGCGGGGTACGGTAGCGCATCCACGCTTTAGAAAGCGCGCCGTTCCTGGGAAAAAGAATAGGAATTTAACTCGCGTAAAAATGTAAGTAGCTGTTCGTATCTATCCTCGTGTTATCACTTTTGATCTTTTTCGGAAAAAATTGGAAACCTATGTCAAATTTTGGAGACATAAACAATGAATTGCTCCAGGTGAAAACCACAAAGCCCGATCCCAGGCCCGAAATTCACCAGAAGATGATCATGTTATGCATTTGGTGGGAGAGAAGGAGTTATTTACTGGAAGTTGCTAGAAGGGACAACTATCAAGGCATCCCTAGACGTTGATCAATTGGATCGAGTCGCTTCTGAAGTGTAAAAAGAGGCTGTAACCATGAGCAAAGTTATTTTTGAAACATGATAACATATTGCAAACTTGATTTAGGAAAGACTGAAGACTTTAGGGCTTGGAAGCTCTCCAGCATGCGCCTGACTTGCTCTCTAGTGATTTGATCTTTTTAAGAATGGCTGTTGATTTGGCTAAAAGAGCACTTTGGAGCTGCGGAGGAAGTCGAAAAAATTAGATCGACTCCTTCCAAGCGGCGCAGCCCCGTAGCGTTTGGGAGACGAGAATCAACGCTTGGCCCTTACAGTTCAAACATTTATCAAAGGCTTATGCACAAACCAAATTTGAAAACGGAATATGTCCAAGCAGGATGTTCCCAAAGGAATTGTATCCACATTTTTGCCGGTAAATCAAGTTATCGGTAAATTCGATTACAACATTCAAATTTAGAAAGAAATCCGTCAAATGCTTGGTTGGCTTATTGGTGCCATTGTTGGCTGTGTGCCTCTGGATTCCAAACATCACATACAAAGCTGCTTTCAATGTCTAAATTTACCTCAAAAAGAGTTCACTTCATGTGGATTATTTTGTCTTTCCAGCCAAATCAGAACAGACAAAAATGAGATGATTGAGCTAAGAATGGTTGGAGATCGTTGAAGAGAAGAAACCTCGTCAGGGCTTCAATCAGAACAATAACAATCGTTGATACTCGTGCAACTTTAGTAAAATGAGATTAGGATTCTGTTTTGAGCTCATTCATTACTGACTCTTTCTTTTGGATGTCTTAATCTACACAGTGCCAGCTAATGATTGTTTTTGAGATTTGTTATTTTTCTTCCAGTTCAAAAAGATCCATCAGACTTTAGGCCTCTCTGAAACTTCCTCAGACAAAGAGCAACTATTCAATCAAGTACAATTTTTGTTAAGATTTTCTCATGCATATTATCGCCCGTATGAAAGGGCTTTCATGAGAGAAAATTTAGGCCAATTTCTTTCAACAAAATATTTAATTCGATGCGCTTTCTTCTCTTTCTCGATCGATTTCGTGATTTCTTTATTGTTTTGGGATTGACTTTAGCTTTGGAAGGTATATTGAGATTAGGTGAATGAGAAATGCAAGAATCCATATCGTTTACAGTAATCCTATCGTTTTGGATTATTGTCTTCGCTCAAAAATTGCACATCTTCCAAGTTGATGTCAATTTGATATTGGGTGAATCCATATCAACAAATACATCTTCTTTTCTTCTTTTTGGTATGTTTGGCAAGAAATGTTCTTTGTGTGAGTCTTTCAATTCAAATTTAGTCCGTTGTTCTCAGTATTTTCATTTTCCCAATCGCAGCTTTTGCCTCGGCCTCAAATGAATATTTGTCAAGACCAATCCGTTATGTAATGTCAATTTAAAGTTAGAATAATCTCTAGCAATACGATATCATAATTTTGGGAAGTGAAACCACACCTTTTCCAAATTTTTGATGCATCTAGCGTCGCTTATACAGGGTGCCCTATAACTATAGAGATGCAGTGGCTTATTATCTATTATTAGCAACTATCTTGATCTGCTCAAAGTTGAAATTTGCACTTCAAAAGCATTTGAAAATCATTTTTGGACATTCCATACAAGACGGAACTCCAGCCCATAAAGCAAGGAGTTCAAGATTTGGCGAAGTGAAGCTTCCCGATTTCTTCTCTTTTTCTGAATGGCTACCCAGCTCGCCAGATCTCAAACTAATAGATTATTCTGTCTGGCTCCGTCCTCCAGGCAAAAGCTTCCTACTCAAAACCTCATAAAAATGTTGAAAGTTTGAAGAAAAGTCTCCTGAAAGTTTAGTCAATCTCATTACTTGGTCGCTACCCATGGACGCCCAAAACGCTTGACAGCAAGCTCGGCTAAAAATGGTGATCGCTTTGAATTTGAATTGTTAATTTGTTGCTCATTGATATCAAATAAAGATTTAAAACAAAAAAGTTTCTGTCTACCTACAAAGCTTTTTATTTGCACTTAGTAATTAAGGGCCATCCTTGTGGGCAAAAACTAAGAAACGAAAAACAATAGACTTCAGCCACCCTGCAGAGGACAAAGTAGTCGAAATGGCTTAGGTGGCTGGGCCACGGCCGAAAGCATCAACAAACTCGTTTACATCGATCAGCTATGCGGATGCCTCGATGCTGTCATCTATTGACCTCCCATTTGTCGCCAGGATTCTGATACTCAACAGAGCTCTCGACCACACCCCACTCCATCTATCATTTCTCGTTTTGGATTATGGCTTCTACGAAATAGCTCAATATTTCCAATACATGATCTCATTGAGTCATTTTTTTTGCTATTTCATTTGACGGGGCATTTTTTCGATACACACAGAAATGGCCGTTTGTTCAAGTGTTGATGCCATATGTGGTGAGGATCGGCCTTGAGAAATTTGAGAGAGTCGATGGTAAGGATTCATTGAATGATAACGTTCATTCAATCATTGATCATCACATTGTGCTACCGCCATGTTATATGATGTAAGCTCTTGATGTGATGACATATCGACGTTTGAGAAAGGTTCACTAGAACTTTAAGAAAGCAAAGTCAACTTTGCCATATGAGGCTATATTTTGGTTATTTTTTGCTTAATTAGCCGTGATTTATTTGAAAATTCCAGCTGAAACGACAAGGGAAAAAGGTTTCACGTGTTGACAAAATGCTGATGATACAGGTTTCGCATTCTTTCCGTAAAGCACCATGTTCGTTTAGATGTTGTCGAACCCTCTGACCGCTCTCATCAGCACTGTGCTCTATCCAGCTTTTGCCATTCTTGTCACTCTGTTCTTCGGCAATAATCTATTATCCGTCTATTAAGCCATCATTCTTTTGTTCAACTATTTTTCTTCTGCTTCTTAGCCAAGTGAGGGCTTATGACCGAAAAGATGTGAAGAAAGATTGGAACTTTGAGTTGATTCTTGAAACAACAACTGTATTCTGTAGAATTGAATACCAGGAGATCCACTTTTGATTAACAACTCTTGAGAGCAATCCCGTCTTTATTGTTCGATAAAATGACTCATTCAGTGTGATGAATGTGATCTATAGTTTGAGCAAGCCTCGATCTCCACAAACAAGGTCGACCATTTCGATTCCTTAACTCGACTAACAAATCCCTGATTGCATCGCATTTTGTTGTACATTTTTCTTTCAGAGCATAAAACATTAAACTAGAAACACAGGCATACAAATTCAAGGGAAATGAGCGATGTGATCCTCAAAACTTTAACCTTTTCGAGAGAAAAATTATGGACAATTCGGAGAAGAGAGAGATCTACTGTGGGGCTTGGGAAAAAGTTCACTTCCCAATTGCAAAGGTTGCTGTTCTCGGTCTTTTAAGCGTTTGTATCTACCGTAAACACTGTCAATCCACGAATGGTTCCGGTGGTGTCATCGATGCCATCTAAACAATTGAATTTTAATGGGTCTTTAGGGTGCTACCCAGGACAGGTTCACTACGTCCAGTGAAGAGGAGACGTGAGTAATACCACTCAACCTTAAGTGTAATGAACTTGTCCTGGTTTACACTCTTAAAGTGAGAACATTCAAATAAAAGAGAAAACAAAATAATACAAAAGCATTAAAATTTAACGCCGCGGAATTTTTTTATGGCGAAGAGAAACAGAAAAAGCTGATTTTGTGGGAGGATCCGAGGCCTTTTATAGGCCTCCGACGTTCTTAGATGTGATACATTTAGTGTTGTTTAAAAGTACCAGTGGGAGTTTAAAAAAATGTGACTTGGATGACATGAATATTGATGGAAACGGAGCGTAGGCTTAGATATTTGAAAATTAGCAATAAACAGTTAAACCAAAAGCTTTCAGAGATTTGTTTATCTGTAGTACGAGCGGGAAAGTTGCCTACTGGGTACGGCCGGGGTTTTCCTGCTCGTGGTTTAGCGTGACAGCGCATAGTCGAACTCCGCATCCGGGCAGGCGGGCTAAATTTCTATATTTCTTGTATTTCTTGCTTAAGAATATCCAAATAATTGGTCGCATTCACTTTGATTCCTTGAGGAACAAAAAACAGAGGAGTCCTTCTGCCTGCGGTGATACCCAGCCCAGAGCATCAACAATTTGGGATAAGCTGCTCGTACCCACAGGTTGGTTAAATCGAATCTTCGTATAAATGTGCGATTGTTTCCATGATGATTCACAAAGTGTTTGATCATGAAAAAGACTCTTTCCATCGATGAAGAGTAATGTTCCGATCATCGATACCATTGGAAGCGAAGCAAAAGTTGGTTGGAACGATCCTCGCGTTTCTTTTGCTGGTTGACGTAAGAAATTGGCTTTTGGAAAACTTATAAGCTTTCATTTCATAGGTGATTTTTGACAATACGGCTTCCATAGAAGTTCGGAGAAATTCCCCTTTTCTTTGCCATCGAGTGGCTTCTCAAGCGTAGCTGATCTCGAACCTTTTGATATTAGCCTTGGCCGCTTTAGGACCACGTCCGGGACGATCAGAATTTGTTCCTAGCTTTTGAAAGCGCTTGATCGCATTGTAAAAAAGTTGTTTGCGTATTATCAATCGCCTAGAGATATTTATCGAACGTCACGCTCAGGTAGGTCAATGATCGCATCTCGGTACACTGGACATCTTGGCCATGTTAAAAGAGGCATTTTTTGAGAAAAATAGTAAGTAAATAGTTAAATAAATAAAATAAACCAAAAGAAAAAGAAAAACAATCTATAAATTGTAAGTAACAATGTAAAATCCTACTACGAAAGGGGAATCCGCAAATTGCCTGTAAATGGGCAGAAGTCGTCAATAATAGTGGAAATTATTTCGAATGAATTCATGGTTTTATGTTCAATAAATTTTAGTTCAAAGGCAGTTTCCAATGCACCAACCCAAATAGTTTAATATGGTATTCTGTTTTCTTGAAATTTTGAATTTGTATTTTTAAGTTGAAACGTTGGGCTTTCATGTTCTTCTTTTCCTTGTTTTTTTTTTCTGGTACCTGAAGTGACGGATAGATTTTCACAACCGGCGGCACTCCTTTCAGATATCCCTTAAAAACCATGGTCAACGCTCCGGCGCCGAGAGTTTCGTCCAAGACTTGCAAACTCGTTGCCGATACCTCCCATTGATCGCTACTAAATAAAAATGTTTTTCATTTATAAGTAACTCAAGAGTTTCATAAAGATCTTTATGTAACGAACCCATCCTCATTCATCTGCATTTCCTCATGTGATTTTCTCCCACATTTTTAGAGTAATCTTTCGATGAGCTGTGGACGGCATAAACGATGAAAAAAGCTGAAATGTTTTTAAAATCGTTGGAAAGATGGAAATTAACAAAACTTTTGGAAAATGTCTTTCTGATTTCTGAATATTTTCGGCTAAGCTTTTAGAGGACTAGTGTTCCAGTTTTTCGAATCGTCTCAATATTCACTCCATTTTTGATCCCAATTATTTCTACCCAGATCGGAGTCCCACAAATGAGAGCAGGAGCCCTTAGCATGAGCACCCTTGATTGCCGGATCCAACCCAATACCAAAGTTTTGATGATTTCCCACTTTCTGTTGACTTTTCCCTTGTCCACTTCATCCATGCGAACCATCGCGAGGGCTCCTTGAGTTGATTTATTTCGGGCATCCAATTTATCTAGATTTCAACAAATAAAATGAAACTGTGCAACTCACCAAAATATTCTGAGGCGTTCAACATTTGGAAAACTGCGGCCAACGAAAGTCACCGTCTTGGAAACAACTTGAAATTTTGTTATTATTAGTGAACATTGTTTACATTTTGTTTGTAAATGTGTTCTAGTAATTGAAATTTTTTTCATATAAGTTTTCAACTTATAACTCATTTTATTACCATTGATTCTCCTAAGGAATCATTAAATGCTATGATCAGCGTTCCATCATAGATCTCCCATGACATCGATTTGTACTGAAATCAATGAATCGGCTAAAGAAAATAGGAAAACCTGTTTTATATAATAGAAAAACTCACGACAAATGATATAATGCTGGCAAATAGGAAGTCCCTCATCGAAGGGATTCATTGGAAACGAGGTACCTAGGAGTGGTGATCATTGTCGAGCCTTCTGCAAAGCGTCTGATCCACGGTTCGACATATACCATTTTACATATTCTTTTTTAAAAATTTTCTTTATATTTTTAGTTTAGATACAAGTGCGCTATTTACTCTGGTCAAAGATTTGTCAAATTTTACTACATTTTGGCTCTCGTTTACGGATGTTCAGAGTCAAAGTTAAAAAACGAATAAAGTAATTCTTTCCAATTTTGTTTTATTCTAGTTGATTTTTTATCAATTTTAGGCTTCCAATTTCAGATATTTTACTTTTTTACGTAGTTACCGGTGAGATTTGCCGACTCAATAAGAATTGTAGTTGTAGAGTACCAAGGTGGCACAACTAGCGTGTAGACATGATTCACGAGATATTGTTCGACGAATGTCGTATTTTCCCTAAACAATGTATTTTTTAATAGTTGATAAAAAGGGAACTATAGTTCTTTTGTGCAATACCGAACAGTGATGAGGAATCGATCGGTATCGTTTGAAGTGCTGGTTTGTGGCGACAGAATGTAAAGACCGTATGAGCAGTCGTACGCTCATTGAATCCCTATTAAAATACGGTTTTATTTTTGAATTTTTCTGATTCTCTCTATTAGCTTAACTCGTCAGAAGTTTCACATTTGAAAAACATATTCAGCTTAATCATGCAAGGTGGAATATTTTGTTACAATGAAAAAGAAGAAGCTTAAATATGCATTTTATTCTTTATTGAAACGCTGTTTACCGTAATCCTTTCACAATGCGAGCATCTCCATCATTTGGAAAGACGATAACGATCGAAAGGTTCGTTTCCGAATCGGATGGTCGAATTGAGATTTCTTGGGGAAAACCAGGGAATAAGTTTATAAGTAATTTCATCTGAAAATGCTTTAGCCAGCAGGAATAATGATTTAAACCCGAAAGTTGACGTTCAGTGAGATGAGAAAAGCGCTATTGCTGAGCATTAAGTTATTTTCATTTTTCTGATCCCATAAAAGCGTAAATTCCTCCCCATCAATATTCATCAAACAGCTTCCATCACGTGGGTTTGATCTCGGAAAGAATGGGGAGAAGTCCTCCCGGAGGCCCCATTTCAGCAAAGGGGCATTTTGACAACTTTTAATAACTCGCTTCAAAATCAATTTTTTTCTCTTTGCATAAAAATTTTGAAATCAAAAACATGGTAAATTAACTTGAACTCAGCCATATACTTGCAGAAGGCCGATTACAAAGATTTCGTACACATCTAGTGAAAAAAATTCATTGGTAATCGGCTAGCCGTTAACGAATCATTCGTTAACGTTTAGCCGTTTAGCCTAGGCTAGCGCAAAAAATTTTGTTTGTTTATCACAAATTTTGTTTTTGACTTTGTCTCCATCCGATTTCCGATTCAAACTGATAAGAAAACCTAAAAGCAAATGTGCAAAAGCAAAGTTTTGTCTGTTCCTTTAAGCTTTGAACGCCGGTCAGGATTTGAACCTTTGTTTACAATAAAAGATATAAAATTTGCTTTTATTATTGTGTTTGGTAGACAGACTGATAACTTTGAATAAACAGCTAATAAAAATAATTCAGGAGTTGGGATTTCATAGTCTTCATTTGTCATTTATTTCTTACATTTGTCTCTTTTCAATTAAATGAAAGGCAGCTTTTCAACTTTCATTTTGCTGTTTCTATCCTCAAATGCTTATCGTTCACATCGTTTGTAAGTGTATCAAAGTTTTTTCAACTATCGCGCGCATTGCTTTAAAGCATCACAAGCAAAGCCACTTTTTTCAGCATCAATGCTCTTTCAAAAGATCTCCACTCACCCACCAATTGCTGGTTCTACCGTATTGATCCCCGGGAAACTTGACTGAAGACTGTTCGAAACTTCGTTCGGATAAAAATAAGGATGATGCACAAGGTAGTATGATAGCCTAATCCATAATACCATATTATAATTTCATAGAAAAATATTGGGATCGAATGGAGAAAGTGAAGGGTGGAATCGAACTTGGCGGAGAAGTGCTTGGTGGAATATTTGGATCGATTGTGATAAGTTCTTACTGCTTTACTGGATCAAAAATTATAATCCTTCTCGGAAAGCATTTCTTCATAAGTACAGTAGTGTCCAAAAATTACCGTTACACCATCTCTGGTCGCGTTTTTTGATTTTTTACCGTATTCTCTCTAATAGTAGTGCACCCCGTCGAGCCGAGTTGATGACGATTTCACGGTTTCCAAGCTTTTGCAGAAGCTCAATACTCTAATCCCCGAAAAGATCTCATCGGGGGCTACATTTTCCGACCCCACATCGATAGGTTCCTGATAAGCGGTTCTCGAGACTTCGAGCAATTTAGGCAAAGCTTGGGGTAAACTACCATTAGAGAGAATACGGTATTCTGATTCTGCCGTTATTTTTTTGTTTATCTTGGTTTTTTTTGATTTTACAATATTACTACAAGATAACATGCGATTATTTGCTATTTTTTTAGAATGGTAAAAGTAATACCACAACAGGGATCGATCATCAAACTTTTAAAACAGAGCCACTTGACGAGCGACATCGTAAAGCGACTAAAAGATGCTTGTTCATCGTAGAATTGACTGCTTTAATGAGTTAGGGAACAGAAATCGATCGTTCTGGAAGAAGAAGAACCTGAATCGTGTCAACTCCAGCCAATATCAAGAAAGTACGCAACCGACTTGGTAAAAGACTCCAACCACTCGATCCGGAAACTTGCTAAGTAGATGGGACTCAAGCGCTCGTCTCTTCATGGAATTTTAAAACAGGCTCAAAAACTCAAAGCCTACAAGAAAAATAAAGCACAATTGCTTTCGGATACTGCAAAAACAGGAAGAGAAAATAACGTTCGGAAAGCTGCTGCTTCGTATCAATGGCAACGATCATCGATCCATTCTTTTCACCGATGAAAAGCTTTTTACTGTCGAAGCTGTTTTTGAATAAACAGGGCCACTTGGCGAGCGACATCGTAAAGCGACTAAAAGTTAATCGGATACTTGTTTATCGTAATAATTGACTGTTTTTAAGGAGTTAGGAACAGGAAATCGATGGTTCTGGAAGAGGAAGAAATCTGAACCGTCTCTACTCTAGCCAATATCAAGAAACGCTTTCCTCGGCGTTTGGACTCAAGCCTCAAAGCGAAATGGAGGCTTATTTGAAAAGATATAATTTATATTTCCTTGATATAGATCAATAAATGTTAATCTTTAAAAATTTTACAATTCGACGACCTTTTGCCTTGAATACGGACTTTTTTATCTGGGTAACGGTAATTTTTGAAACACCCTAGATTTAGAGGTTTATTTCGACTTTTCAAAGAGATTGCATTCTATTTAGTTTTTACGGTGGTTTCGGTGGAATGTCAGTGGGCTCAAAAATTGGTGGTGTAATAGGCGATCTTGTTGGTGGACTCTTTGGCGGCGATGTAAGTGGGATTTTATAAGAATAAGTAGCAGCTTAGTATCTCATCAATGCCTCTATAACAGCCAATTTTATTTTTACAGTTCCTTACAAGATGTCACAGTCAAATTTTTGTTAACATGATCTTTCCAGGATCCGCTGGATGACCCACGAGAACAAGTGAAACACATCGAAGAAGAAATGGCCAAACAACACTATTGTGTGATTCAAGAAATCAAACTCGAAATTGATGAAGCGACTGAGAAAATTCCCGGTCAATATCACAAAACAATCCTTCGAGACATTACGTGAGCAGAATATCTGCTACGAGAGAACATTTCGCGATTGTCGAGAAGAAAACGGATGAAATTTTGAAGGACATCGGAAACATTGAACACCGGATTGCTTTTAGTCGACTATCAGAATGTTTGTTTCATTTTTTTGTTTATGATAATAAGTTTTTTTAGAAAGTTCGGAACACCCTTACGAGCAATTGGAATGTTCGCCTACGGCTATTTGACAATCACCAAAAAATGGGTACCTGAAAATCAAGAGTCTTTTTGAAAAGACTTTGTATTGACAACTCGGATAAAAAAAACTGTTGTTGAGGTTATTTTGATTTCTTTATCATTTTTGTCTATTTCAGAAAATATTTTTTAGTACTTCTTTTAAAAATGTCAATAACCTTTATATTAGGTTGGAAAGATCAAAGTGACAATTTTTTTTCTTCTGTTCTTACTAGTATTCCCCAGCACCAAAAGCATTCGGATAAAGAGGGAGTTTGCTTTTACGTCAGCTCTTCAACTATTGATTACTAAAACTTGTTCTTTGTTTTTATGGGCAAGATTTATTTAGTCTAACAACCGTTTTACAGATGGCCTTCCAGCCTGAGGAGAAAGCGCAATACTTTTCCCTAGAGGAAGAGGCGAGCGGTGGGGAGTGAGTGACTTCAATGAAACGGCTCTAACTGAGCTCCCTGCAGATCGACAACAAACACCAACCAGGGCATTGATAAGTGATAACCCATTCCATTGAATGGGATTTGTTTTGAAATTTGGCACATGGGTTCCCTATGTGCTCACAGATCTGATGGGATTGCAGCGCCTTTCACCGTTTCTGCTGCCCTAGTTTCTCCCGGTACAATAGATATTCTCCTCTTCTACACGTGATTATTAGTGGAAAGAAGTGGGTACTTTATGTCAACTATCGAAGCCTTGGGCAGTGGATCGGTCCCGGCGAGCAACCGAAACCCATTTCCAAGCCAGAATTGCACCAGAATAGCATTATGTTGTGTACTTTGGTCGGATCTGAGCGAAGTCGTTTATTGGGAGTTGCTACACGATCTCTCACAGCTTCCCTGTACTCGAGAACAGCTGGATCAGGTCGCCAAACAAATCACAAAAAAATCGGCCAAATCATGGAAAGGTCTTTCATCTCAAGGACAATGCAAGACCTCATGTTGCAAATTTGACTCAACAAAATTAGGTTGAGCTGGCCTAAAAAGTTCCTCCTCATCCACCGTATAACCCTGACCTTGCTCCTCTTCTGATTCTCATCTTTTCGGGAAGCTGCTTTGCAGAACTCGATGAGGAGCACTTCGGAGATCGCGTCAAGATGTCGAAAATTGGTTTCGCGATTTCTTTGACGCGCAGTCCTAGCAATCCCTGGGAGAAGGGGGACCGTGCTCGACCCAATAAATGGCAACGAATAATAGATAATAAGGGCGATTACCTTGAATAAATGTGTGGTTTGGTATTTTTAGAAAAATACAGTGCAAAAATTTTCACTTGAACCTTTCCAACCCAATGGCTGAAAATTTCAGAACATGCGCGTAAATTTCACGGAGAACTGCTCACCGAAGAGTCAAAATCGCCGATCAAAAATATTGGGAACTTTTTGAAAGACTCGCAAGAAAACACTCAAAAACGATGGACTCACTCGACGACGGTGAAGTGGAAATTATAGAAAGTAAAATGGAGATTCGAAAGTGTTTTGAAAAAGTTAAACCATTTCAGAAATTTTTCACAAAATGTACAGCATCGATTATGATGATGGGTTGCTTTTGGCAGATGATTCAGAAAGAAAATTGTTGCTAACCTGAGCCATAATTACTGTCGTTTGACTCGAATTATACAGGTAAGCACTGTTGAGCTCTCAACAGTGCTGAGCTTGATTCAATCAAAATTATTTGTTTTCATTTCAAGATGGCTATCTTTGTGTGATTTGGAAAGAAGTGCTTGACTGCAAATGAATCATCCATCAATACGAGAAGTGGAAAGGCGTTAAACAAAAAATTGAATTACCGTAAAGGAAACTTCAGGAAGCAAAACACCAATTTTAGTTGCTTGACTGATGCAACGATCAATGGATGCAAGAACAGAACTGACTGCTGCCTTGTTGACTTCTATATGTCTGTGGCGGCGGACATTCAAATTGCAGTGAATTTTTAATCAAGAAATCTTATGAAAAGTTCTACTTTCTAGCTTGATTCGGTTATGCCATGCGCTCAAACAATTGCATTGAAGCTGCCACGTGAATCGACGGCGGCGAGCTACTGGCGAAAATCAATGACACTTTCTATAAATATGTGGCTAGTAAAACGGTGAGTGCTTAGCAAAGGAAAAGGAAAATGCAATGGAAAATCTCATTACAAAAAAAGCGTTATGTGTTGGGTTGGGGAGAGAATGAGTCGGCGCCAAACTTTAAAGGGATTTTTTGCACACATAAAGCCCTCTTTAAACATACGTTTGGTTTCTATCAAAAGGATCCACTATTTCTCTACAAAATCACTTTTGAGAGATTCCGACAAAGCTTTTTTCTTTCGTGGAGTTTATGAACTTCCAAACGCAGCTGGTTAAAATGGCAAAGAGTCCGACCTCATCATTTGAACAGTTTCTTTCACATAAACCTTCTTTGGTGTTTATATAAAAAAGATAGAGTACATTCAATTACTTAAGTTGCCAAATTTGCAGGAAGATCCCACCAAAGGTTTTTTCTAGATCACAGTTTCTAGTTTTTGTGAAAAATGGCTTTTTCTTTGAGCGGAGGCGCTGTTTGAATTTTCTTTTAAATGTCATTTTGTAGAGAATTAGTTAACCATTCTACTCATATTCAAACGCATATTATTTGACGAAGTCGAATAGAAGTTTTAGACATTTTTTCATTTTCGGCGCTGACTCATTCTCCCCAACCCAATAGTTACCGTAAAAGTTGTAAATAGTAGCCTACGGGGGCATTATTTTTTCGGGGACCCTCTGGGGGTCACTAATAGAGGGGGATCATTATTTTTCCGATAGTACTTTTCCACATGACCAAAACTGGAAAATACAAGATAATTACCACCTCATTAAAGAAACAGTTTTCAATTAATTTCTTTCAGGTAGGAGTCCGACAAGAAAGTGATTACATGGAAATGCTTGATGGGGTCGAAGATTTCTCTCTTTTCACAAATAATACTTGGAAGCTGTTCAAAAATTTTGGTTCTCCATTGTGAGTCACTCAATTTACTTTTTTACAATTTAAATGTTTGTTTATTAACGGAAATTTTCAGCTATGGAAAGTTTATCTATATGGCTCAACAAACAATCACAAACGAAACGTTACCTGATGAACTGTCTGAACTTTACGAGGCTTTTAAACTAAATTTGATTTTGTACATCGAAATGGTAGACAATTTAGGTTGTCACCCCATGCGATTTGAGACCCTGCTCCTTTTGTTATGCAGGAAAATGCGATCAGTACCGCCGGGTCTCCGCTTGCAAAAATTCTCTAAAAACCTTTCAATGTAAAAACATTGGGTATTTAGACTGGCAATGAATCGAACTCTAAACTCAAACGACTGGAGAAAACACTGACCATCGCTGGGAACTGCATTACATTCCCGGTAGAGTGGACCCACAAGCTGGGAAATGCCCGACAACAAATTCAAGTCAAGTTTTTCGGGCTCTTCAACAGTAAGTCAATTCAATTCCTCTACTAGTTTTTAAAGAATTGATTCTAATCATCATTAAAGTAATGCTTTTTTTTAAGATACGCATATGAGCTGCTTATTGAAATGGTGGAAAGAATCGATGGACTACAAACTTGTAATTACATCATCTCGAAAAGTTCTTATGCTTCTCCTGATCAACCACATCTCTTACAACAAGCAAAAGCCACTTATGGAAAAGAAGATCGAATGTGGATTGATTCGAAATGTTTTGAAGACACTTGTTGGTCATTCTATTTGTTTGATCTCATCACAGCTGAGCTGCCTGGAACTGGTGTCTCGCCAAAAGATCAAAAAAGATCTTTTGTATTCAGAATATAAAGTCATAAAGTAGATTTATAAAAACAATTTAAAGCAAAACAAACTACTGTTTAAACCATTTAACAACAAAAATTAATGAATGAGTTCTATTACAGACGACAATCGTAACAGCAATCACAAGTGAATCGCCCACCGATTCAGCGAGTTTTTAGCTTTCACAAAACTCAATTTTTTGTTTTTTTGACAAAATTTTTGTATTACTTTACAAATTCTAGATTTTTCTTGATTTTAAGAAGTTCGTATTTTGTTAGATTTAAACAGATTCCAAGCTTATCATTTTAAAAAACGAACTTTGTTTCAGCCAAATCGCCGGAATAGTAACCACAAATGGAGTGTCACGGGTGCCAAACTCAATTGGTGAGTTATCCCTTTCTACCACCCCAATTTTATTTGTGTAATAGTAGAAAATCGGGCTCTTGCATAAAATCCGGGGCTTTGAAGAAATTCAAAAGTTTTCGAGCGCTTTTGGTTAATTTTTTAGTAAATATTATTTATTCAATCACAAAAAACACAGCCAGTATACACCGATACAAATAAGAATCACTTTGATTAGTGCTTAGAGATTGGGGATCACTGCGTATTCATCTGAAATTTGAATTGTTAAACAATAGGGTTTACTGGTGACTGATCCTATCTCAAAAGATCTTAGAAAAGACAATCAAAGTAGGATGAGCTCGACGATACATGTGGGCGGCTGGCTCGATATAACGAGTTCTCGGTACAAACGACTTTGAAATGCTAAATGATTTCTGCGTAGCTGCTCAGCCAAATGCAATTGTTGGCCGTTCACGCAGGAAATTTTCAGCACGTTTTAGAGTCGTTAAATCGAGATTTTTCATCCCGAGCGAGTCGTTATATCGAGAGTCGACTGTATATTTGAACATGTAAGACGGTAGCTTATCTTGTGTAACTCCTCGCAGATGTCGAATCGAGGCTTTTAGTGCCCCCAACTCCTTCGACACCTTGGGTGTGCGCAGTGGGATCGTTAGGTTCGACGAAACAGCTGAAAAGCTAATTTGAATAACTTTTAAAGTGTTTTGTAAAAATGAGTTTGCAAAAATGAGTTTCTAAAAACTGAAATCAAAATGGTGAGTTTAAACTAACAGTTTATAATTGACGGCAACATGTTGGAAGTTTGCTTGAAGACTCGAGATGCTCCCATATGCACGCCAAAAATCGGAAACAATTTTTGTACCTAAATGGTCAGCAAATTATTATTTTACATGTTCTTTTTTTACCTGGGGAGACGTATTGTTGAATCAGGTGAAGTAGAGTGGCAGCATCGCGACGAAGAAATGAAAAAAAAAGACATTCTGTTTGATCCACGCTCCACCATCCCAAAGATTCATTGGTATGGCCGGGTTTTTCCTCTATTGTGCTTGGCTTTAAAGAAGTGGTTTTTCATCAACTTCGATAGTTTTTCCGGGACCGCCTAATTGTTGTTGGTTCATTGTTCAATTTTCACAAAGCGGCCGAAGGAAATCCCACAGGCTTCCTTGTTAAGCCAAACTTTACTGTAAAGGTCTCGTGAGTGTCTTGTGAATGAGAAGCTCAATGTTCAAGAAGTCGCAGTTGGTCTGCGATAGGGACCTTTTCTGTCTCAAAAACACCATCATTACGAATGCCGATTCTCGATGGAGAAGAACATTTTGGGTTTCTCCAAGTCACACCGTCATCTTTACTGGGGTCCTTGACGACTGCAGTTTCATTCATTGGCAATCAAAGAATAATGTGCTGCAAAAAGAATAGCCCCATCTCTTTGTCCATTTGAACCTCGCACCCCTCCAAAAATAGTGTCTAGAGTGGTATCAGTGATTCTGATCGGGTAATCATTTATGAGATCAATAGCTGGTTGAGGCTGTGTTCCTTGCGGTAAAATAGTAAACATTGAAGTACCCCCAGCCAATGTTCCAACAAAAATTAAGCAAGGACATAACAAAATAAGACTTAATCTCATCTTTTCGCAATTCAAATAGAATAGTTTTCACTTTGGGCATGAGGTTTAAATAGGTAATTCTCAGCGTTTTCAGCAAAATATTTTCTTATTTAGACTGCCGTTAACATTGCCTTTACTGATTTTCTCATGGTTTTTCTTGTAAAAGATGCCAAAAGAAACCCACAGTTGAACGTTTCGATGCGTTAATTGTTGCGCAAATGGGAAATCAACATGTATTTTCCACCAGTCTTTAGCTGCAGTTAGCTAATTATGAGTCAAATGAACAGTTCTTCCAAATTAGGCAAACTTAAAACCTGTTTTCTTCCTTGTTTTCTTGGTTCTCCATTTGTCTTTCTATTCTGTTAATTTTAACTTTTTAGGATGAACGATTTGAAGTATCAAATTCGAGTTTATATGCTGTATGTCTTGAAGCAAGGAAAAACGGCATCCGATTGCCATAGAGTGATTGCAAGTGTATTCGTCCAAATTCGGCAAATGAATAACAAATAGTAATCAAAACTTTCGTATTCCTACAAAAGCCCCGAATTTTTTCCTAAAAACCTGGATATTCTCCAAGAGCCAAAATTTAAAAAATTTAAACTTTATCAAAATATAAATGTTATTAATTACAGTCAACACTGGCAGCATCAACAATTAAAGTGGAAACGACCACTACAAGTGTTCCTCCAACATGATACCTTTAATCCATCATTTTACTCATCATTTTCATGTTATTTTGTTGATTTTATTGATTTTTTTAAATTAGTTGAATTTGAAATAAATCTTATTTTATTATTAGAATGTTTAAGTAATAGACAAAGGCCAAAAGGAAATTGTGACAGCAAATAGACCTCTGAAAATCGATTTAAACGGTTGAATCCGATGATTTAAAGCTGTTTGGATGGATACAGTTCTTAGCTAAAAATGGCTAAACTTTGTAGAAACTCATAAATTTCCTGTGTAAAATAATATCCGCGTTCAAATTCCCATTTTTCAGGTTTCCGCCCCTCAATTATCACATTTGATGTTATACAATTCGATGGAGAAAATCTCATTGGAGAAAATGATTTCTGATTTGGAATCGACAAAAATGGTTAATTAGTACAAAAATGTACTAATTAACCAGAAAAATTCAAAATGCGGACAATTAGAAATTGGAAATTTCTTCAGAGTCTCTATGTGGTAGTTTTCATTCTTTCTGGTTCAATCTCATGTCAGTATTCATTCACATTTTTTTTTCTGTTTACGCATGCGTACAGATTGCTTTTCTTTGAAGTAGGCTATCAACTAAAAATTAATTGGCCATTTAAAAAAATAAAAACTAAAGCTGCTTTCATTTCTTCCTCCGGCACATAGCTGTCATCAAATCGTATAGAATTATCTTCCAGTGATATCATTCTAGGCACATCATCGGCATTCCATTCTGTTTCTTCTTTCTCCGCTTCGTTCTTCTCTTCAATATCTTCATCACTTTCGATCGTCACTTCGCGAAACTCCGATTTCTTTTCCAAAGCTGGATCTCCATCCAAAGAAGGTCATGCTGTCGATTTGGTGGTATGAGAAAGGAGTGATACACTATTCGTTGCTGAAAAGCGACCAAAGCATCAATTTGGAGGTCTACCTGCAACAAATCAAGGAGATGCACTCAAAGTTGCAGGTTTTGAACCAATCGAAAAGGCCCTATTCTGCTGAAGGGCAACGTGCGTCCTCTCTGTAATGACACTCAGGGCACTCAATGATTGAAGCATCAAAGTCCTACTTCATCCAGCCTATTCACCAGACCTATCGCCAACTGATTATCACTTATTTAAGCACCTTCATTGCTTTCTCAGAGACCAAATATTCAAATATGCGGTGGAGGTTCCAAATGTCATTGACGCCTTTATCAACTCTAGAACTTCTGACTTCTACATACATGGAATCAAAAAACTTGCCATCTGCTGGCACAAATGCATTGATTGTAATGGATGTTATTTTGCTTAGTTAGGGTTTTGAATACGAAAAATTGAAGTTGAGTATGAAAAACGCAGTCATTTTCCGTAGTACCTAATAGTTTTTGTACCAATCGACAAAGACAGACCTGGCGCATCCAATGATACCAAGGATATTTAAATTGGACAGCCCAACACCAAGATATGTGAGCTCAAAGTTAAATTGCCAATGGCAAAAGGGGCGGGGTCCGATATATAAAATGTCCGATAACCCGTAACTCTGCCCGGGTAATGTTTCACGTTGAAAAGGAAAGAAGAGCGAATGACTGGACCCATCGACTTACCGTAAATACGGTAATAGTACCTCACCCCCAAAATGACGGTGCAGAGTGTTGCGTAGTCTAGTTTTGAACGAGTTTTTCTCGAGACTGGCTTATGCTACAATGGGCGCCTAGGTATCAAAAATATAGCCCTGAATTTCAGCTATTTTTTTGATAGCAAAGACGCATTTTTTGAAAGTACGGGCGCTTTGAGAAAAAATTGATTACAAAATCATATTTGAAATAGAACTCAAAAAGCGCCCCGATTCAATAAAAGATCATTTTTTTCAGAAAATCTATAAATCGTCATTTAGAGAAAATGACTGACGAGTTCACTACAAAAATTTGGCTACTTATATAATTAAATGGGCTCTAACTTTTTGTTTCGATATCAAGTTAAGTTTCTGTGTAAGGAACGAGTCAAACGATAAATCGGACTCCTTGTCATTTTGACTGATTGCATTTAGGAGCTCATAAAATCCACAAAACAAAAGTTTTTCGAAATCTCTCAAAAGCCATTTTGTAAAGCAATGATAGGCCTATTTGATTATCCAAATAATTATGGATTATATAAAACTTTTTTGCGTTCCAGAAAAATTTTTGAGAGTCGGCGCCATTTCATACTTCCTAGCCCAATAATACACTGAAAATTTAGTAAATTCAAATTCAATTGATTTCTAATTGTAAGGAGAGAACTTTGTATGCATATTTCAAAAATTTGCCCAGCTTTTATTCCTAAAATTAAACAAGAGCTACAAAATTGCACAAACTGAGTAAATGAAACTAAACACCGTTCAAATTTCACCACGGGCCATTCCATTTTGGCCTGTGTACGTGATTTCGATCGAGTCATAGGTGGGGTTGTGTTTTCGGGGGTTTGCTTCAACTCCATCATCTTTGGGCATCACTATGACACATGGTGGAACCTCAACTAGTGGCCTAATCGTGTAATAGTACGGCTCTTTCACATTCTCTATCAT